CGTGAAGGCAGCAAGGCCCCTACCCATTTTGCAGGGGATCAGACAACCTTCCGCCGCCACCCTTTTGTGGATGGCATCATGGAGACGCCACTCCTCATGGGTGGAAGCCTCTCCACCTCGATCGCTATGGTGGCACGACGGACCCAGATGAGCTCATCGACCTGTATATGACGCAGGTAAATATTAAGTGCTCTCTATATAAAACTTTTTATAAAATCTTATAAATAACGCTTCTATTCAAACGCGCTATCTATTTCTTTTTTTTAGAAAGCACTTTTTTAAAAAAGCGCTATAACATATTTTTTTATAAATAAAATAATACAAAGATAGCATTTTTTTTAATAAGCGCTCTCTATATAAAATCTTATTATGGCGCTTATTTAATTAAGCGCTCTTTTAATGTTTTATGTTTTAAAACACAACATTTATTAATTAAGCGCTCTCTAAATAGCGCTATCTATTGCCACTTTTGTTGTAGTGATCCTAGGTACAAAAGCATGGTGAAGCACTATGCATTTTCTATATATTAAATAAAGCATAAGAGGCCAAAACTTCAATTCATTGATTTGTAGTTGCATTGTATACTTACATTTATTTATATGTAGCTAGCAAAAGAAAATTTGCAGTACTGATAAACTGAAAATGATATAATCATAGTTTACATCCCAAAACATCATAGAAGATTTCTTAAACAGAAATAATTGATGTATTTCATTCAAATGTTCAAATAAAATGTTCTAAGAAGCACATTTTTGTCATATGAGAAATACATTGGACCTTATATATATGTTTGTTTGCAAAACGAAAAGCAGCAAAGAAATGGTTGAAATAGAAATCCAAAAATACTTGAAATACATTATGTTTGTTTGTATAATGAATGGTTATGAACCACACCAACAATATGGAACCATGTACTTAGATATGAAAATTATGAGAATTCATACCTGTGAAACTAAATACCCAGTACTCACTATGCAACAACTGAAAATGAAAACACCATTCACTTTTTGTCAGTGCTCACATGAAACTAAATACCCAGTACCCTCATCCTTCGCATAAGCACCATTGAACCCACCGCCGTCAGAATCTTCTAGAATGTCCACACACATGTCAAAGTGTTGGGCATCTTCCTCTGTCAGTCGGTGTCTCCATTGGTTTGCACGTATCAATAGACAGGCAACTACCTCTCCTGTCAACATCCAATGATCCTACTTGGCATCCTCTGTCTTAATACGGAGAATGGACTGATTGGAATAAATGGGCTTATTCTTGCAAACTTAAGCGGAGAATACTTAGTGGCTAATACCCGTGGGAAGGGCTGAAAAATTGGGCCTCGGGGAGGATTTATGTCGCTTGGCCCTTGGAGGGGTACTTATCTTCACTATCTTTTTTTTATATAGTGGTTATCCTGTAATTTGGAATATTCTTCTAAATTGCATCTAACCACCTTTGTATTCATGGGTTTGGGACATCCCTTAATATATTTTTTAGCCGTTCAGAAAAAAACATCATATGACCTCATTGACACCTATCACGTCACTGTCACACTCTTGTATACAACTAGGCGACATTAGGATTCCTTATTCGAGAACCCGATTCTAGTGGTATGAACAAATCATCCACGGATTTGATTATTCTGATCTCCGGCCGATGACTAACAGCTAGTGTTCTAATTCAAGGTGGAGGAGGAAGAATGTTCGTGTTCATGGAGAATTCAAATTCTCCGAAACGCCAACATGTATCCTACGATGGGAGCAAACCTTTGTTGCACACATATATTTCCAATACTATGCGATATACATATATTTATGCTACAAATAAGATTTGCCTATACGTTTAACCTCATACAGTACTCTCTTGGATAAGATTATCTAATAGTTAAAAAAATAACTAAAAACATATTTAATCATAAAATAAAATATTTTTATTTTTAAAATCACTATTTTATTTTAAAAAAATATTTTTTAAATGAATTAATTAGAATTATCGAAGTACTGTTGCGTCTCTTTTGCAGCTTCTACAACTTGTATACTATGAAGTTGAAGTCATAGGGGAATTTACCACCTATTTTCTTGAACATGCTAAAAGTGAAATGGAGGAATCAAAACTCAGAAGTACTATATATACAAAGCTAATGGGGTTGAGTACTGATTTATTTTGCACCCAAGCTTCTTTAATTTGGTTGCCATCACGAGGCCACTTGCAACAATTGTCATTTTTTGTCTATTTGTTTTTTTAGCTTCACCTTTTTCAGTTAAAAGTTTTTATAGAAGTTATGGTAAGAGAAATTTATAAATTAATTTTACATAAATTAATTTTAATTTATCAAAACATTAATTATT